ATCTCAGTGCCCAAGATCTTTGAATTTACCATATTTGCGAATCTCTTTACACAAGGTTCAGCTTTAAACATATATAGATTTCTCCCCAGCATTTGGAAAACTTTTCCTCAGCATATTCATTCATTTCACAAACATTTCTTAAGTGTCTCTTAAACAAACAAGCATAGTCTGGCCTTCGTGGATGTCACAGTTAATTGGAGGGAAAAGATAGTTACCAAACGGGCAATTGCTAACTGTGAAAGTGCTGTAAAAGACAAGGGTATTGTGAGAGTGTATGAAAGCAGGGCCTGGCCAAGTCTGCGGCCCATTCTGCATAGGGCACAGTGGGAGGGAGTGTTCACTGTCCGTGGAAGGCTTTCCCGAAGAAACTGGAGCTGTTCCCTGTCTGGCGCACTCTGCCCTAATGTCTGTGCAGAGCTGGCTGCTTCTTACTATTCAAGACTCAGCCATGTTACCTCTTCTGCAAGACTTTCCATGACCATACCCAAAACTAAAGTCCAGCATATCACCCTACTTTATTTCCTTTTGGAACATTTATTTTTATCTGAAATTATTGTGTTTATGATTATTGGCTGTTTCAACCAACTACAATGTAGGTGTCCTTGCCTCTTTTTTTCTGACTTGCAGTGACCTTGCCTCTTTTTTACTGACTTGCACCCCCATTGCTTAGAATACTTCCTGAAATGTAAGTGTTCCAGAAATTGTTAACTGACTGCATAAATGAATGTCCTTGGATCTTGATCTCTTGCGTAGTTGCTCTACTAATTTGATTTCCTTGTCCTGTTTTTTGTTTGTTTGGGAAGACTCCTCAAGTTGGTTGTCTACTTGTTCATTTTTCTATCACCTGAATCCTACCCTCACTCCCCTGTCATACTGTAATTGAGGTTGCCAATTGTAGCATCACACCCTATGACGATGGTGATGGGCATGTGACTGTTTCAAGCTGGGTCACTTGGAGTCCTTCTCTTGATACTCCAAATTTGAAGGAAGGAAGAGGGAGACTTCTCAGGTGGCAGTGTGAATCTAGAGCTGTTGGTGGCCATAACCATCCAGATAAAAGAAGCCAATCTGTAAGAAGAGAAAATGAAAGCATTTCCTAAGGAAGCAGAGATGGCAGGGAAGAGAAGTCCTGGTAGCTTTCCAGTCTTGGCTTCCTTTGTGCCTGAGGCTCAGTTTCAACCCCTGGTTTTCCCTGGCTTTTGCTTTACCCAGTTCAAATGGAGTTTCTGTCACTTAGAGCCAAAAGATTCCCAATTAAAACTGTATATAGCTTTATTTTCATTTTAACCCATACCTCATCTAACAACCTTTTTATCTTGATGTGTTTTATATAATATCCTTGGGTATTGATCTGTTGGACTAGTTTAATTTCTGATTTCAGAGAATCCATGTTTTCTACTTCCAATTCCATTTCTTTCTTTTGCTGCCTAAGTTTTCTACTTCCAGTACTATTCTTTCTTAGTATGCTGTCCTCCCTTTCTTTTCAGAAACATATTGTTTAGTAGTAAGTAGGTGCTATCTAATTATTACTGTTGTTGTTATTTAACTCATCCTTGAAACAGGTTTATTAGGTTCTTCTTGGATTTTCTCACTTTCAACTTTGATGCTTTTGAACAGCCAGGTTAGTACCTAGTATCTCTAGCATGATAGGAAGCCAGGGTAGTGGGCAGAAGCTCACTTCTGGGTAATTTCTTCCCTGTGTTTGGTGAACTGCTGTGGCCTGATCTTCTTGGTGCTGCTGACTGCTACCTCAGGGTGGGGCTCTGATGGTCTGGGGAGAAGTCCTCCACGATTGCAACTGGCTCTCTGCTTGGTGTAACTGCTTGTCTCTTAGAACTATTGCAGCTGCCCTCAAATTCCACCAATCCACACAGACTCCAAGGAGAATATTTCACATCTATTCTATGATTTCTAGTTCTAACTTAATTAGAGCAGTGTTACAAGAAATTATTTCAAGCCAAGCAACTGTCTTAGGCAGCTAAGTTGTAAATTGACTTAGTATTTTTCATCAATCTGGTTCCATTTACACTATGTCAAGAAGAAAATTAGCAGCTTTTTGGTAATTTGTTTCTTTATTGATTAATTCACTAATTTTTTTTTTTTAACTGAGTCTCATGCTGTCACCCAGGCTGGAGAGGCTGGAGTGCCATGACCCAGTCTCAGCTCACTGCAACCTCTGCCTCCTGGGTTCAAGCGTTTGTCATCCCTCAGCCACCTGAGTAGGCTGGAATTACAGATGTGCACCACTGTGCCCAGCTAACTTTTGTGTTTTTAGTAGAGATGGGGTTTCACCATGTTGCCCAGGCTGGTCTCGAACTCCCGGCCTCAAGTGATCCATGCACCTTGGAAACTCAGTAAATATTTACTGAGCATCTACTGTGTGCCAGTCACTCTTGGAGACACTGAACGTATCAGTGTTTAAAATGAGACTTCTCTGCCCCTCATGGAGCTTATATTTTTGGTGAGGAAACAAACAATAAATAAGTAAACCAATAAATATATAATACTAGGTAGTGATAAATGCCAAGGAGAAAAATAAAGCAGGAGAAAGGAATAGAGAGCAATGAGGGTGGGGCTGTTTTAGAAAGGGTAGGCAGAACGGAGATTCTCTGAGGAGGTGACACTTTAGAAGAGACCTGAGTGAATCAGGGATAGAGCCATACAGAGAGTTCCTGGCAGAAGCAACAGCCAAAATATGGCTCTAAGGAGATGAAGAGCTTGGTAGAATTGCAGAGTAAAGCACCAGGGTAGCTAGAGTAGAAGGAATGAGGGGGAAGGTGGAAGGAGATGAGTTCCTGATGTTAAACATGGGAAAACATGTTCTTTGTGCCTCCAAAACCAAGCTTTGTCCATTTTTCAGGGGAAAGATAAGTGTGTGACATATTGTTCCGAAAGGCTAAAATTCATAGCCGACTTCTGTTTATCACATGACACCTGAATGGTTTCCCAAAACATTGTGGCAATTCGGGTTATGGAATGCAAACTGATCATAGGAGGCTAAGGGTGTTTAGAATATGATTTGAAGCAGTTATAAAGTTGATTTGGAAGGAAGAAATAACTAAGAAGTGAGATTAGATAAAATAATCTTGGGAAAGATGGCAACTTGAGCAAAAGCTTCTGACACTGTCCACACCAATGCTTAATGAAGTGACCAGCAGTGAGAGAACATTGTTGGCCACTGTCATCTAAATATATCCCAAATTTGACCATTTCTCATCACTCCCACTGCTAGTAAATTATAGTTAGAAAACATTAATACTTTAATTCATCATACTTAGAGCCCACAATGAACATATAAGTGGATCATTAGGGACTTTTGAGTTTATTTTTGAAAGGTGGCTTGGGAAGCCATATTTGTGAGTTCATCCCAAGATGGAGAAAGGCAAGTGATTTCCCTTATCGTTTTTCTAGGAAGAAGGTTGAAATAATAGTAATACCTTATATTTGAGTGAATTATAGGTTACAGTGTACCTTTGTATCTAGGAATTCAACCAGACAGATATTGCTTGTGCTGCTTTTCAGATAGAAGACTCAGGCCCAGATAGACCACCTGACTGACTCAAAGTCACACAGATGGTTAAGGACACAGCTATCACTATCACTAGAATTCTTATCTTTGACTGTGCTCTGTCACTCTGCTAAAAAGCAACAAATTGTTTGGATAGGATGTTGTGTCAGAGAAAAGCCAATTGCTCTCCCTTTTCTTGCCCCACCCCAACTGGACCCCTATAAGGTAACAGATGTTAACAATATTGTGAGTATGCCATATGTTTGCCTGCCTGCCTGCCTTCCTGTATTCTTGTCTGTCTGTCTGTCTTAGTCTGCTTGTGCTGCTATAACAGAGAACCAAAGACTGGGTAATTTAGAAAGAAGAGAAATTTATTTTTTCATGGTTCTAGAGGCTGGAGAGTCCAGGATCAGGGCACTGGCAGGTTCAGTTTTCTGGTGAGGGCTGCTGTCTGCTTCCAAGATGGCACCTTGATGCTGCATCCTCTGGAAGGCAGGAATGCTGTGTCCTTATGTGACAGAAGGTCCAAAATGGGATAGTGGAAGGCAAGCAAGAGACAAATGCTGTGGGAAGCCTCTTTTATAAGGACCTTTATTCTGTTCACAAAGAAGGTGACCTCATGGCATAATCACCTCTTAAAGGCTCCACCTCTTAATATTATCACATTGGCAGTACTTGAATTTTGGAGGGGATATATTCAAACCACAGTTGTATGTACTTCTCTATTTGCTTCTCTCTTCTGTATACATATATAGTGGCTTCTTTTCTTCTATATGTTACAGCTTCAAATCAAATTGTGTATATTACTTTAAATCTTTAACCATGTGTCCTGGTCATACATCTAGGTCAGTATATCTAGATCCAATTCATATTCCTTCTTTGTATGTCTATATTGTTTGATTATTGCAAAGTATATATTGCTTTTTTTTTTTTTTTTTTTTTTTTTGGAGACAGAGTCTCGCTCTCGCTCTGTTGCCAGGCTGGAGTGCAGTGGTGTAATCTCGGCTCACTGCAACCTCTGCCTCCCGGGTTCAAGCCATTCCCCTGTCTCAGCCTCCTGAGTAGCTGGGATTACAGGCACATGCCACCATGCCCAGCTAGTTTTTTGTATTTTAGTAGAGACGAGGTTTCACCATATTGGCCAGGATAGTCTTTGATTTCCTGACTTTGTGATCTGTCCACCTCGGCCTCCCGAAGTGCTGGGATTACAGCCATGAGCCACCGCACCCAGCCATACATTGCTTTTAAAAGGAAAATCCAATAATGTATTTAAAGTGAAAAATGTAATGCCAGTATATAATTTTATCATATATTAATGACCTATTTACCTTTTAAAGTATAAGAAAAGGAATATACTTATCAATAGTTCTTTATTTGCTGCAGGTTTTTTCACTGCTGCATTTTTACTTTTTAAAAAATTTCTGTAGAATAAGAATTAATTATAGCCTTAACTAGTATTTCCTTTTCTAAGCAGATTCAATGTATTTTTCAGGTTATTATGTCCGGGAAAAATCTAAGCAAGTCATCACATTGCTGATGGATGAACAGTTGCTGTGTAAAGAGAGGGAAGTGGCATGTCGGACTAGACAGCGTACCTCCTACTCTATGTTGTTTTCTAAAAGACCACTTGGTTCAAGTAGCTCACTGACAGCGTGTACTTCTGCCCCTACATCAGATATTTCTGCTTCAGAGAAGAAGTGGAAGCTTCCTAAGTTTGGAAGGCTACATAATAAAAGTACGTATATGACCATTAGCCTAAAATGCAACAGGTATCATTAAAAATGATTTAAAAATATAAAATACTATCTTTTAGTACTAAATTATTAATATCATTTAGTACTACTGTTACCATATTAGGCTTCATACTATAGAAAACAATGATGAAGAATATTCAATAGAAGATTTTATGACATTTTTTAGTTTATTTATTTCTTAGCTTTATTTCTTTGCTTTATTTTTGAGATGGAATCTTGCTCTGTCTCCTAGGCTGGAGTGCAGTGGCAAGATCTCGGCTCACTGCAACCTCTGCCTCCCGGGTTCAAGCAATTCTCCTGCCTCAGCCTCCTGAGTAGCTGGGATTACAGGCTCCTATCACCATGCCCAGCTAATTTTTGTATTTTTAGTAGAGACAGGGTTTCAGCATGTTGCCCAGGTTGGTCTCGAACACCTGACCTCAAGGGATCCTCCTGCCTTGGCCTCCCAAAGTGCTGGGATTATAGGCATGAGCCACTGTGCCCGGCCCAATTTTATGACTGTTTTCTGAATGCAATTATCTTTGATTCAAATAAAATGTTTTTGAGCTTTTAAGCTATTAAACTAGTGACTACGCTATTTGGCATCGTGGTTCAATTTTAAGATTTTTATCCTTAACTGGAAAGTGAAGGACTACAGTTTTCTAACACTAGGTGTCTGGATATGTGTGTATGAGGTCTCTTTGATCCTATAATATAAATCAAATAATTGACATTTTCTAAAGTGTGCTTCAGAATCCTAAAAGTGCTCTAAAAGTTCTTCTAGGACAATACCTTGTACTCTTTCCTTTGCTTAAAACTTTAAATATGGACTGCTGAACTTTTATAAAAAAGGGATTTATTTATAATGTTATAATAGACATCAGTAGAAAAATACTATCTTCTTTTCTACCAAATTTGCTAAAACTTAAAAAAATATCATTTTCCTCTAACTTCTCCAGTGAAACCCTGTTGATAAATTGTCTATGAGGAATGGACAGCTTGAGGAAGCCAGAACATCAGTGAAATGTGACTTAGAGAACTGTCCCTTTGTATTCAGTACAAATAGATAATTCCAATTGTCAGTTAAGTGCAAAAATGTAACAGTGTTACTAGTAATACCGACACATGTTAATCTTGCTAAAAATCATTCAAGTACTTTTCTGACTTAATCAAGAGTTTCAAATGTTCACCCAATGGGACATTGAGTGAACATCTGTATTTGGAATTGGAGAGAGGCATTATAAGAGGGTAGCCATTGTAAGTGTAGTAGCAAATACTACCTACCTGCTTCTAAAAGTGGTGGAATTTCTTTGTTTAGGGGATCTGATTCTTTTGAAATAAATCTCCAAAAGAGACAGCCACTCATTTTGAAATTTTTCTCATGGGAGCCTTTAATTCAAACTGATGCTAAAAACAGAGTAACAGAGAAGAAGAACCAATTATGACTCATCCAGAGTTTCTTCCCCACTTAACGCTTCTTCGATGTTACCTTTCTTACTCTTCCTTCTTCCTTTCTTTTCTCAATTCTTTCTTCTTTCATTGTAAATACATAATTATTGAATTTATTTAAAATTTGGATATTCAGCAGAACTTTGGAGCTATAGGAGTGAATAAATGTTCTTTTATCATGGAACTAATATTCTAGTGATAGAGACTAGGATGTCTCTGTCAGAAGCACAAAATATGTCAGATAATAACAAGTCCTATAAAGAAAAGGAAAGCAGGGTCAGGGAACAGAAAGTGACAGGGATGGGTTTATTTTAGGTCATGTGATGAAGGAAGGCCTTTTGGAGGAAGTGAATCTTTAAACAGACCTGAATGAAGTGAGGGAGCAGCCCATGTACAGGCGTACCTCGATCGATTGCATTTTGCTTTATTACGCTTCACAGATAACGCATATTTTACAAATTGAAGGTTTGTGGCAACCCTGCACCCAGGAAGTTTATTGGCGTCATTTTTCTGATAGCATGTGCATGCTTTGTGTCTGTGTCACATTTTGGTAGTTCTTGCAATGTTTTTAACTTTTTCCTTATTATTATATGTGTCATGGTGATCTATGATCAGTGATCTTAGCTGTTACTGTTATAATTGTTTTGGGGTACCACAAACCATAACTGTAGAAGACCAGTGAACTTATTGATAGATGTCATGTGTGTTCTGGCTGCTTTACTGATCCCCATCTCTCTCTCTCCTTGGGTCTCCCTAGTCCCTGAGAGTCAACAATATTGAAATTAAGCCAATTAATAACCCTACAATGGCCTGTAAGTGTTCCAGTGTAAGGAAGAGTCGCAGGTTTCTCACTTTAATTCAAAAGCTAGAAATGATTAAACTTAGTGAGGAAGGCATGTTGAAAGCTGAAATAGGCTGAAAGGTAGGCCTCTTTTGCCAAACAGTTAGCTAAGTTATGAATGTAAAGGAAACATTCTGGAAGGAAATTAGAAGTGCTGTTCCAGCGAATACAGGAATGGTAAGAATGGGAAACAGCCTTTGCTGATATGGAGAAAGGTTGCATGGTCTGGATAGAAGATCAAACTAGCCCCAGTATCCCTTAAGCCAAAGCCTAATCCAGAACAAGGTTCTGTCTTTAATTCTGCAAAGACTGAGAGAGATGAGGAAACTGCAGAAGAAAATCTTGAAGCTAGCAGAGGTTGGTTCATGAGGTTTAAGGAAAGCAGCTGTCACCATAACATACAAGTACAAAGTGAAGCAGCAAGTACTGATGGAGAAGCTGTAGCAAGTTATCCAGAAGATCTAGCTAAGGTAATTGATGAAGGTGGCTACCCTAAACAGATTTTCAATGTGGATGAAATAGCCTTTTGTTGGAAAAAGATGCCATCTGGGACTCTCATAGCTAGAGAGAAGTCAATGCCTGGCTTCAAAGCTTCAAAGGACAGGTGACTCTCTTTTTAGGGCTAATGCAACTGGTGACTTTAAGTTGAAGCCAACTGCTCGTTCATCATTCCAAAAATCCTAGTGCCCTTAAGATTTCTTTAAAAATATTGCTGCTCATTGACAATGCACCTGGTCACCCAAGAGTTCTGATGGAGATGTACAAGGAGATTAATGTTGTTTTCATGCCTGCTAACACACAGTGTTTATTCTTCAGCCCATGGATCAAGGAGTGATTTCAACTTTCAAGTCTTATTACTGAAGAAATACATTTCATAAAGCTATATCTTCCATAGATAGTGATTCCTCTGATAGATCTGAGCAAAGTAAATTAAAAACCTTCTGGAAAAGATTCACCATTCTAGATGCCATTAACAACATTTGTGATTCATGGGAGGAAGCCACAATTTCAACATTAACAGGAGTTTGAAAGAAGTGGATTCCAACCCTCATGGATGACTTTGAGGGGTTCAAGACTTCAGTGGAGGAAGGAACTGCAGATGTGGTGGAAATAGCTAGAGAACTAGAATTAGAACTGGAGCCTGAAGATGTGACTGGATTGCTGCAATCTCATGGTCAAACTTGAACAGATAAGGAGTTACTTCTTATGGATGAGCAAAGAAAGTGGTTTCTTGAGATGAAATCTACTCCTGTGAAGATGCTGTGAACTTGTTGCAATGTCAACAAAGAATTCAGAATATTACATAAACTTAGTAGATAAAACAGTGGCAGGATTAGAGAGGACTCTAATTTTGAAAGAAGTTCTGTGGGTAAAATGCTATCAAAGAGCATCGCATGCTACAGAGAAATCTTTTGTGAAAGGAAGAGTCAGTTGATGTTGCAGGCTTTATTGTTGTCTTACTTTAAAAAATTGCCACAGCAACTACCCTGATCTATCAGCAGCCCTTAACATGGAGACAGAACCCTCCACCAGCAAAAAGATGATGACTCACTGAAGGCTCAGATAGTTGTTAGCCTTTTAAAATTAGCAATAAAGTATTATTTAATTAAGTTATGTATATGTATTTTTTAGGCAACATGGTATTGCATACTAAGTCTACTAAGTAGACTGCAGTCTAATGTAAACATAACTTTTATATGCACCAGGAAACAAAAAAGTTTGTGTGAGTCACTTTACTGGAATATTTGCTTTACTGCAGTAATGTGGAACCCAACCCACCACAGTATCTTCAAGGTGTGCCTGTGTATCAGGCAGAGGGAACAGCAGGGCAGATGCTCTGAAACTGGAGCAAACTTGGCCTGGTTAATTGTAAGCTTAGGAAATGAATCCCTAAATTAATACAGAAGTAACTCAACTCTGATTTTACGATTCATGCAAGAAATTCTAGTTTATTGTTTTGTAGTCACAGATTGCATTTTTTTTTTTTTTTTTTTGAGCCCGAGTTTCACTCTTGTTGCCCAGTCTGGAGCACAATGGCATGATCTTGGCTCACTGCAACCTCTGCCTCCTGGGTTCAGGTGATTCTCCTGCCCCAGCCTTCCAGAGTAGCTGGGATTACAGGCGTGTGCCACCGTACCTGGCCCCACAGATTGCATTTTTAAACCTAAAATGATATTCTCCATCTTTATGACATGTCTCATTCACTACACTGAGCTATGAATGACTTGACTATTTTAAAAAAGTGAATCCACCTTCAAATGAAGTTTTGCTACGATTTATTATTTTTTACTACTACAAACACATATTGAGTGTCTGGCTCACTATAATGCCAGACATGTTCTAAGCCCGGTAAGTAAATTGGCTGTATTTCTGCTCTAATGGAGGTTATAGCTTGTGATGTACTATGTGCTTTTTCTTTTCCTTTTCTTTTTTCTTTTTCTTCTGAGACAGGGTCTTGATCTGTCACCCCAGCAGGAGCGCAGTGGTGTGATAATGACTCACTGCAGCCTTGAACTACTGGACTCAAGTAATCCTCCTGGCTTAGCCTACCAAGTAGCTGGGACTACCGGCACACACCGCCACACCCAGCTTGAAAAAATACTTGAAAAAATACTTGTTCGAGACAAGATCTTGCTACCACATTCTTCTAAGTCTGTTTCATGAAAAGATACTCTAAAAAAGCTTTAGTCAATGATGGCATCATTATAGTAA